TTCTATCAAAAACTTCCTTTGGCTGGCAACTGACATTGCTCTGCTGGTAAGGAACAATTCAAGATTTCTGCCTCTTTGTATAAAATGAGCAGAAATAAGTATTGAGACATGTTAAAGAGAAATATTAATAAAAAAGCTAATTATATAAATGAATTGGAATGGCAAGAGACAGGAGACCAGAAAGACTTATCTATTGTAATAGTTTAAATGGGAGGTAATTGTGGTGTAAAGTAAGGTGATGACAATGGAAGTGAAAAAGAAGGATCAATATAAGAGATTTTGAAGGGAGAATTGACAAACCTTTGTGATGTGAATAGGGAAGGAGGAGGAGGGATTGAAAGGAGACAAAAACTACAGAGATTTTGAACCAGGGTAATTGGAAATGCCATTAGTCAAAAAAAGAGGTGGGGCGGGGAGGGAATCAGAGGAGGAACTGCTTTTGCGGGGAAGGCGATCTGGACATGTTGAACTTGTTCTGAAAGTGGGGCAGTGTGCACCTCATTGGTAATCTGGTTTTAGAGTTCATGAGATTTGTGATTTATCAAACCAGAAGTGATAGTTGAAGTTCCGACAGAGAAGAGCATGAGAACACCATGGGAAGTACTATGGAGAGAAGCAAGAAGGTCTGATTTAAACTTTAGTGTATGCCCACTTTTAAGAAACCAACAAAGGAGAGAGAAAATGAACTGTCTGAACAGTAGGAGAACCAATAATATTCATTTGTCATTCTTTCATTTTATTCCTTCTGTCATTTTCTTATTAATTTACTCAATGAATCCAAGACTGTGTAGCATTAAGGCAGCCAGTATTAGGTACTACAAGAAAGTTAAGAAAAATGAGGCCCATGGAAAAGTCAGTAGGTTTTTAAATTAGGAGATTGCTTTAGAAAACGAATGTTCCATGAAGTAAAATTGTGGCGGTGGAGTGAAGGAGCAGTACCAAGTTCTGAAAAGATTGGTGGTGAACAAGGAGAGGCAGCAGTTGTAAAATATTAATTGTGGAGATATTTAGTAGTAAAAGGTTGAAAAAAATTTAGGACAGGGGCTGGCCCTGTGGCATAGTGGTTAGGTTCAGTGCACTCCACTTTGGCAGCCTGGATTTGCAGGTTTGGATCCTGGGCATGGACCTATACCACTTGTCAGCCATGCTGTGGCGGTGACCTACATACAAAGTAGAGGAAGACTGGCACAGATGTTAGCTCAGGGCTAATCTTCCTCAAGCAAAAAAAGAGGAAGATTGGCAATAGATGTTAGCTCAGGGCTAATTTTCCTCAGGGAAAAAAAAATTTAGGACTGTAGGCATAGAGTTAATAGGTAGCCTTTGTTGTTGCTGTTTTTTTTCTTTAAAGAGTATAGGATATCTGTGTGTGGTTATTTTTAAAGTGGAAAGAGCTAATGAGGAAGGAATGTTTGAAAGGTAATAATAACAACAACAGTCATTTATATAGCAATTGCTTTATGCCAGATGTTGATATTAGCACTTTGCATGTATTAACTAACTTTAATCCTCATAATAACCAACAAGATACTACAGATATGGCTGGGAATTATTGACATGTGGAGTGTACCGAGGAATTGAGGTAATTGCATATTGATTTATTTGTTGAAATATAGTTTCTTAACTAAATTACAAGTAAACTGCGATATAGAAGAACAGAAACTAGAAACGTGATCAACTTTCCTGGCTGAACTGTTTGGATATCTCAATGTAGTACAGTTTGACTTCCTAATGTTTGGGTTACTTTTTATTTTAATCACTAGGGGCTACTGTTCCTTCATTAGAAACTGAGATGCTCTTCATGGTTTTTCCATTTGAATCATTGATCAGTTGAACGTGGTCATTCTTTGCAGACCTTCTAAAATGTTAGTGTATTCCTTGTGAATAGGTTCAGTTGTTTTCCTTTCTAAGTTAAACTTTGTATTTTTAAAATAATTGTAAAATTTAAATGTTTCTCCAGGCACATAGCTAAATTATACTGACATATCACTTATCCTGTGTGAGGCCTGTTGTTCTTTTTATACAACTAGATTTATTCCTGGTGGCTTACAACTTTCTAGTATCCTGAGGTCCCCAAACCAGAGTTTACTTTTTTTCTTTTAGGTATGGCAGTTCACTCATTCAGTGAACTCATTATTCATTCCTTGTATTAAAAACTTGCTGGTTCTTTCACATGACTGTCTCATTAAATCTCAGCCATTGTCTGAAATAGGTATTGTGTCACCATTTTACAGACCCAGACAACAAAGTTCGAGATACCTAAGTAGTTTGGGATTATACAAAGTAGTAAAAATGTGGGAATTGAACCCATGTCTTCTAACTCCAAGTCTAGTCCCAGTCTTTATAATATCACAATTACTCTACATTACTTGCTCCTTACAAATTTGACATTATACTGTATTTTCAGCTCTGCTTTTCATAGAAATAGTATTCAAGCTTTATTCCATTTTATTTTGTCGTCATATCACTACTTTTTTGTGTTTGTCTTTCTCTCCCTTTTTTTTTTTGGTTTGGGATTGCCAGTATGATGTAGCATGGTTAGTATCTAGCTCAATGCTTTTAGTCATGATTTTGCATTGAATCACAAATACTACATACAGTAAAAGGTAATTTTTACATAATTTTAAATTCTTTTTTTATTTTGCAGATATCAGTTTCTTTCAACTTAAAAAAAAATTTAAAACTTACAGAGAAGTTGCAAGAACTAGTACAAAGAATTTCCATATACCCTTCATCTAGATTTACCTATTTTTAACATTTTGCTATAATTTACCATTTTCACTCTTTCCCTCTTTCCATATATATATAAAGATATACACACACACAGATACATACATACATATATGATTTTTTTCTTCTGAATCATTTCAGAGTAAGTTGCTAATTTTATGCTCTTTTGCCCCTAAATACTTATGTATTGCTTAAGAAGTTATTTTCTTCTTTAAAATAGGTTGTTAGAGCCTGTGGGTAGAACTCTTAATTGACTTTCTCATATATCTTTAGTAGATGGCATTGGAGAAGGATTATGTTGTTTTGGTGCTAGACCTGCAACTTAAGGTCTATTTTATCATCAATATTTCTTTGGACCATTTGTTACTGCCTCTCTTGGCTTTGCTCTTTTTGTCTCTCACCTCTAGTTTCTGACACACCTAGAGCAAGTGTGAGAGCTTATTGCCTTACTCTATGTGATGCTGCCATTCAGAGCCTGAGAATCTTTTTTTTCTGCCGCTGCCTTTTTTCCCTTTGCTCCCTGAACTCAGGGGTGTGTATCATAGGGCAGACTGAGTTTCAGTAAGCTTCTATTGTGTATACTGGAAACCCTGCTGCCTGCCAAGTCCTTTTGGCTGTGAGCAAAGTGGAGGCTTGGTACTTGTCATTACTTTGCAGCAGTTGAGCTGAAGGAATGCTGTATAGCTTGTTGGAAGTTGCTTCATGGGCTTGAGTGGGGTGTGTATGAGGGTGTGTGTAGAGAGTTGAGGGTCTTGTAGTCTGTGTGGGAGACATGGGATCCTTGCTGATGTCATGCTAATCATCAGGCAGTATTTATTGAGTGCCTCCTTAAGCTTAGCACTGTGATAGGAGCTTTTGGAATAGTATAATACAATTCATAATTAAGTCAAAGTATAATAGTCAAACAGTTCTAGCTCTGCCACTTATTAGCTTTGATTTGGGCAAGTTAGTGTCTTTAAGCCTCCCTTTACTCTTCTGTGAATGGAACTATGAATACGTACAGGATAGGGCTGTTGTGAAGATCAAATAAAGACTGCAAATAAATAGTGTTTAGCACATGTCTGGCACTAGTTAGTATTTCATTTCCTACAGTCATATTCAGAATATATGACTATCATATAAAATAAGTAGAGTAACATGATACTACCGTGTATAACCAAATATTTTAACTGTGACATGTAGTCTGGGAATTTAGAAAAGGGAAAGAATTTAGAGAAGGGAAAGAGCATCTCCCTTTAGAGGAGGAAAATGGTCTTGTGCAACCATGTAATGTTTCTGTACCTCAGTTTTTCCACTGGACACACTGTGGATAATGCTAAGTGATCTCCCGGAGAATGATTAAGATGTTATAACATTTTCGCTTTTTTAGGTGGTCTATATGATGGTGGGAAGGAAGGGAGAAGCTTGGGGAACTGTTAGAAACCAATTTAACACTTAATATTCTTAATTTTTTCCTGGTGTGGACATGGCAGCCTTATAAGAAAACTTAAAGTTGGAGATTAGAAGCGTTTCCTTCCAAGGAAGATGCTTGCTTTGGTATTTCTCTGTCACCTCACTGGCATTTTAATTAGTTGAAAACTAATGTTGGTCAATTGATGGCCTCTGATTGTGAGTGCCTCAGATATAATCTGAGGATTAAGTGATTTGTAACCTAAATTATCTCTGTGATCCTCTGTATAAATATAATATACAAACAAACAGGGCAGGAGAAGATTTAGTTCTTTTGGACTGAATGTTAAAGACGTATGGTTTACTCACCATGAATGTATCTCTGGGTTGGGACATGTTTACTCATAACTGAGTCCAGACTGATGACTTGGCCTTCTTCCCTTTAAATAAGCTTTGAAAGCCATGCACATGTGAAACACCTTTAAAAATTTCTTTACTTACAACATCCAAAAGAAACTGTTTCAATTCCTAGCTTGGTATGTTGCTTATTTGGTAATTTTTTTGTTAGCCTGATTTTAGAAAGTGTATTGGGTTTTTATTTTTGTCCAGATCAACTTTCTTCTCCTTCTAGAAAATTTCAGAGAAGTTTCCCATGAAAGTTAAGCTTCACACACCTTTTTCTTCCCCCTCTTTCGTTTGATTGTTTCTCCTTTTTGTTGTTGTTAAGGTAGTTTTGGGTTTTTTTGGGGGGGGAGGCATTGTTTGCCAAGGTTTCAAGTTTATAGTAAGAGGTGAGGCAACGTTGATCTTGGCAGAACAGCACAAAGCCAGTAGAGTCATTAAGTGACGCAAGCTTTTGATTTTTTTTTTTCTTTTTGTTAAAGCTCTCTGGCACAGCTGGCTATTCTAGTCACAGGGGAAAAGAGAAGAGAGTTACTGAAGTTCTGGATGGAATGATAGAAGATGTTTGAGACATATTAAAAAAATAGCAGCTGCAACAACAACAGAAGTACCGTATAATTCAAACAAGCTTCTTAGTTTTGTGGGATCCATGTTAGTTGCTTAGAACCTGAGTTTTTACTTCAGAGGATGATGGGACAAGGAAATAGAAGGCAAGAAGGTTGCGTTGGATTCTTGCTTATCTGTCTGCCTCTCCTTCCAGTTGGAAGAATCTTCAATCCACAAGAAGCATTGTAAACAAGCCTAACGAACACGTCCTACCCTGATCTGGATACTGTTGGAGTTGAGGATTACAGCCAGTTCACCAGGATTTTATGGAGGCAGTTCAAGAAAAATAGAAGGAAGCAATAACTTAAGGATTTTTCTGTTTGTATTAGTCCTGTGCTATGTTAAATTGTGGACATTATTTGGAACAAGTAGGAGACGGCTCTGTCATGTGGATCTAAGAAGATACCTGAGTTCCTTGAGCTACATATATGATGTTTGGAAGGTTATAAACTCAAAATCTTTCAACATAAATTCATTAAATTCTGGATTATCTTTCTATTAAGGACTTCACCAGACAGAAACTCCCTCCCCAAAAGATACAAAACCTTCTCTGTGTTTTCAGACTAAATGTGAACAATAATGTCTTGGAAGAGAAATTATTTTTCAGGAGGCCGTGGTAGTGTCCAAGGGATGTTTGCACCTCGAAGCTCAACCTCCATAGCCCCTAGCAAAGGCCTCAGCAATGAGCCAGGGCAAAACAGCTGCTTCCTCAACAGTGCCTTGCAGGTAAGGGTAATTTCTTTCCTTTTGGTGGACTTTGACTTTTAGTTGCTGATGCTGTATTTCTGATAACTTTTTTTTTCTTTCTTTTTTTTTTTTGGTCAGGAAGATTGGCCCTGAGCTAACATCTGTTGCCAATCTTCCTCTTTTTGCTTGAGGAAGATTGTCACTGAGCTAACATCTGTGCCAATCTTCCTCTATTTTGTATGTGGGATGCTGCCACAGCATGGCTTGATGAGTAGTGTGCAGGTCTGCCCCCCGGGATCTGAACCAGCAAACCCTGGACTACCAAAGCAGAGCATGCAAACTTAATCATTATGCCACCAGGCCAACCCCTGGTAACTCTTTTAAATATAATACTTGGCAGTCTGTTTGAGGTTAGCAGCTTGAGATCCTTTTTTAAGTTTATCCGTGTGATCTTAGGCAAGTCACTTTATCTCTTTGAGTGTCAATTACCTCATTTATAACAAAAGGGATTAATTATGATAGTAGAAGTAATAACTGTAACTGCTACTACTTACCTGCCTAAAGGGAGGTGCATGGACTAGATGATCTTACTACTTTTTTATTTACTTTTTTCCTGAACAGTCTCTATTGTTTCCTTTTTTTCTTTTTGAGACCAATGTCTTATCACCCTGATTGTTTTTCTCTAGTATAAAAAGCAAAATTCTTTCAATGAGTCAAAGACCTTCAGGTTTATCATTCTTGTCTCATAATATTCAGGCTCTTAGCACACACACTGAATGGAGTTCACTTTTTGACTGTCTACTTCTTCATCTCCTTCCTCTAAGCTCTCCTCCAGTGGCTCATGATTGGTGTCTGGTCAGACATGCTTGAACAGAGCAAGTGGAAAGTAAAGTCCCCTAAGGTGATTATCTACTCCAGATTTTTCCCTTTTGGTGTTGCTTACCATCTTAGTGGTCTCAGAATCCCAAAGCTTCCTTTCTGTCTGCCCGTTCTGCCTAGTGAGGCTTGTAAGAGTGTTAGGTTCATCCCTCTTGGCCTAACTTTCAAGTAATTACTTTCTCCTCTTTTCTGCTTTTCAGAGTAAAAGTAAATGAAATTTGCCATCCAAGATAATTATGCTTGGGTGAAATACTAGTTTACCCTCACATGTAATGAGAAAATAAGTTGCCGTGAGAGAAGAAGAGATAAGAAATGTATTTAGTGTAAAAGCACCGGACTTAGGGCTGAGGAGACCTGGTTCTATTTCTAGCCCTTCTGTAGACTAGCCTTGTGATCTTGTGCAGGTAATAGTGTTTCAGTTTCTTCGTTCATAATGCAAGAATCTTGTCAAGATTATTTATGTAGTAGAAGTTTCATACTCTCTCTCACTTTTCAAAATTTCTATTTGAAAACATTAAAAAAAATCCTATGCTGTCAAGCCTATAAGAAGAGTTTAAGTACTTTCCCTAGTTACTAGTACAAATTTCATGCAGTTGGATGGGCTTAGTTAGGTTTTTTTTTCCCCAGATGATGCATATTAGGTTTTTGAGTGACTTTGTGTAGACAAATAATACTTTTATAATTTAGAAGCAGGCAAGATAGGGTATTGATGTAGGTGTGTGTGTGTTTACCTTCTACCTCACCATAGTCCTGTTTTTATAATTCTGTTTCTTTCTATATGTTTTATTATACTGTCAGTTGAAACAATGATATTTATGACTTTCTGTTCTAATTTCCAGTGCCATATGGAAGACATACTATACATACATACATACATATATATGTTTCTTTATCCATATTTAAACATTGAGTCATTGATGGTTTTGGAGTACCTATTATAATCATGTTACAAGTTGAAAATAATTGTTTCTATGAGCTAATATTCTAACTTTTGATATGAAAGTTGTGTTTACCACAGATATGTTAAACCCATTACATTTATTATAAAAAGGTGTGACTTGTTTGGGAGCATAGTGTGTTTCAAAGAACTTTTGGAATATATACCTTGAGATACCTAAGTAAGAAGAAGCTCCAGAGGTGTACTGTGAATCTGGGGCTCCAGAGTGTAGTGCCTTTTCCTATATGATGGCATTTAAATGTTTTCCAGGCAACAGGACCTTTGTAAGGCATTATGCTATATATTATGCCGTTTCTTTTTTAACTAAAGCCCATAGTCTATTCAGATTCCCTTAGTTTTTACCTAGTGTCTTTTTCTATTCCAGGATATCACATTTACATTTACTTGTCATGTCTGCTTAGGCTCCTCTTGGCTGTGACAGTTTCTCAAAATTTCCTGGTTTTTGGTGATCTTGACAATTTTGAAGAGTACTAGTCAAGTATTTTGTAGAATGTCCCACTATTGGACTTTTTCTGATGTTTTTCTCATGATTAGACTGGGGTTATGGGTTTTTGAGAAGAAGACCATAAAAGTAAAGTTCCATTCTCATTACATCATATCAGGATTACATGCTATGAGCATGATTTATCACTGTTGATATCACCATTTTTTAAATTCTGTTAACTTAAGGACATCATACCACTCTCAGAAAGGTCCAAAAATTGAGAAATCTGGCAAAGATAAAATTCCACACTGCAATTAAAGCTTCTGAATAAGTTTTAAAATATTCTTGCTTTTCTTATGTGGACCATTAAAATAAACGCTTACTCTGCAGCTTTTAACCCATAAATTTCCTCTTCAGGATCACATTGGATGTATGTCGTACCATATTTTCTCTTGTGACCTTCATTCATGTTCAGATCAATGTCTTTTTCAGAATATGATCATCTCTCCCTCTTGTTAGATACCTTACTTTTTTGACATTTGTTTTAATATACTAGAATGAACTTTTCTCTTGGGAATAAAGATATCTTCTGCAGTCATCATCTGTGTTTGCTTGAACTCTTGAATTTAGAATTAAATGGTGGCTTTTTATAGAGTAAGGAAGTATTTTCCCTTTTCCACCAGGTTTTATGGCACTTGGACATCTTCCGACGTAGCTTTAGGCAACTTACAACTCACAAATGCATGGGAGATTCCTGTATCTTTTGTGCTCTCAAGGTAAGTACTTCAAATTTGTTTCTTCTCACTACCATTAGGTTGCCAAATGATCAATATTGAGGTGGTTTGGTTAATCAGAGTGGTGCTAAGGAGTTTATTACTGAGTCATCTGCCTGTGTTTTAGTGCAAAGGATGAGTATGATTAGTTTTGCTTGCTTTAGAGAATTACTACTTGGCTTGGGCAGAATGTTTTTCTCAACCTTTTTGCCCATACACAGCTCTATTTCATGTGATAGGATATGATTCAAATATGCTTAGATTTTGAGTATTTACCTGAAAAACTAATTCTAAATTTTCATTTTGAAAGAATAAACAACCAACTATTTTTAATGGAATTAACTATTATCTATTAAAGTTAAATTTAGCAACAAACTCTTCCTGAGAAAAGCCAGTACTAAAATTTTCCTATTCCCTAATGTTTCCCATGATTACATTTAACAGATTATTTATAGCAGTTCTCTACCTCATAATCTGACTCCATGTTTTTCATTTTTTAATAAAATGAAACTGAAGATTCATGTGGAGACACAGAAAACGGCCTAAAGTGAGAGATTTCTGACTCAGAGATTTTAGATATACTGCTAAAGAGGAAGAACTAGGATGTATATAGGGTCTTGCATTACTTTATTTGCTTTTCCAACATGTAGCTTCTCCATGTGTTCTTGGTCCGGATATACAATGGATTATATGTGGTTGGATGAGTCTGCTTGAGTTCTGAGTAAGCTTCCAGAGTCGTTTATCAGTCTCATGAAGTCTGAATTCTTGGTTTGTCACAGACGTGCTTGGATGTGATCGTTATATGTTTAGTTGCTTTTACATATTAGAGTAAGAATTGTGACCAAAAATTCGAGGAGAATTTTCTAGTTATGTTGGTTATTTGCAACAACTGACTCAAAACGATTTTTTGACGGGCATCACTTTGGAATTTTAAGTCCATGAATGGCAGATATCTTTTTATTTTATTTATTTTTTTTGTGAGGAAGATTGGCCCTGAGCTAACATCTGGACCAGTCCTCCTCTACTTTATGTGGGACACCGCCTCAGCATGGCTTGATGAGTGGCACTAGGTCTGTGCCCAGGATCCAAACCTGTGAACCCAGGGCTGCTGAAGCAGAGCTTCGGAACTTAACTACTATGCCACTGCACTGGCCCCTGGGCAGATATATTTATTTTTTAATTTAATTTTATTTTTTTTGAGGAAGATCAGCCCTGAGCTAAATCTGCTGCCAATCCTCCTCTCTCTCTCTCTCTTTTTTTTGCTGAAGAAGACTGGTCCTGAGCTAACACGCATGCCCATCTTCCTCTACTTTATATGTGGGACACCTACCACAGCATGGCTGGCCAAGCAGTGCCATGTCCACACCCGGGATCCGAACTGGTGAACCCTGAGCCACCGAAGTGGAATGTGCACACTTAACCGCTGCGCCACTGGGCCGGCCCCTAGGCAGATATCTTTAGAAAGAGATAACTGAGTCTTCTGAACTTTTTGCCACTTGGGTCACAAACATCTTTTTTCTCCACTCTTTCTTTGGAACCATTATAACTTTTAGCAAAATATAGAATATAAATTGTTGATTAATTGGAGAGTTTAAATATGAAAGTTTATTAAAACCAGATCTTTTACAAGATGTAACATTTCTGACTATGCCCATTCAGACAGAAGTCCATCCAAAAGAGTATTTGGCTTGATTCTGAAAGGTACATTGCTATTAAGTATCTAATTTTAGATAAACAAGAAATATAATAGTCCTTTGGTCATCAAGTTTGAGGGAAGTCTGGTTCGTGGCATTAAAACCAAAAAACTAAGGCAAGATACTTTAATTTAAAATTTAAGATAATTTAAAGATACTTGCTAGAGAGATTTGAATCCTACAGAAATTTCTGGTAGAAGAATCTCCTGAAACTGGAAATTCTTAGCTGTACCAGGGAGGGATGATAGAACTTATATGACCCCCTGACATGCCTTTTATTAGTCAGGATTGTGCCATACTCTTTATCAACCCAGGTAGGACTCTGGAGAACTAGCTGTCACAATCTTTTTCTGTTTCCTTTTCCAAAGGGACAAATTGTTATTTTAATGTAAATCAGTATCGTTATATAAGCCAGAGAGATGAAGAAAACCAACCACCAGACTTTATGGGACATCCTCTGAGACACCCAAGTACAGAAAATAAGTCGTTTTTTAACCTGTAGGTACTGAGGATGTATCTTGGGACTCTTTCAGAGAAGCAATTGCTTATGATAGATAGGTAAATGGGCTTAGGGGATCAAAGGCTGTATTCTGGGTCTTCATAACTCTGAAGTTGTGTTGGAATTCTGATATCTTTACTTATCACATCACCGCTTGATCTATTCATTAGATTTCTTTTCCTTCACTGACTCTTTTATTACATTGGGAGTATATTAAAAATTTGATTTTTTCCTCAAGTGCTTTTCAATCCCTCAGCACTATATAAATATAAATAATTAGGCATAGGTTACACAAAGTTCATGTTTTAGGTGGCACTGTTAGCAGTCTTCTAATTATGGTGTGCTTAATTTAAAAATTATAAATAGACTTATAATGCAGATGGATTAATTTGACAGTACGGATGAGCTGAACTTGGTTCTAATAGCTGAGAAATTTAAATTTCTAGAATGGCCATAGTTTCTAAGAGACATTCCTTTCATCCAGACTGGAGGGCTTTATTTTCTGAGAGAACACAGGGATGATGAGTGTATGGAAGAGTAAACCTGGGATGGACCAGCAGCACCTGGACCTTCCCATAGGATATCTCTTTTGTTCCCTATTTTAAAAATATTTTTATAAATATGAAAATAATACAATTCATCATTGAGCTAGGTTCTAGTCAGTATAATAAGATAAGAAAAACAAAGGAAAGATAAAGATTAGAAAGGAAGCAACAAAGTTGTCATTATTTGCGGGTGATGTGATTGGCTATTTGGATAAATCCCAAAGAGGGGCTGGCCTGGTGGTGCAGCGATTAAGTGCACACATTCCACTTTGGCGGCCCAGTTCTCTGATTCGGATCCCGGGTGTGGACATGGCACCGCTTGGCAAGCCATGCTCTGGTAGGCGTCCCACATATAAAATAGAGGAAGATGGGAGGAAGATGGGCACGGATGTTAGCTCAGGGCCAGTCTTCCTCAGCAAAAGGAGGAGGATTGCCAGCAGATGTTAGCTCAGGGCTAATCTTCCTCAAAAACAAAAACGAAAACAAATAATCTACTGATAATTTCAAAATCAGTAAGAGAATTTAGCAGGTTGTTGCCAATAAGATCAAGATATAACGTTCAATTGCATTTAGCAGCTAACAGAAAGCACAATTTAAAAAGAGCTTTTTATAATAGCAACAAAGTATATAAAGTAGATATAAATAAATCTTACAAAAAAGATGTAAGACATTTGTGTAAAACCCCCACAGAGATTCCGTATAATAAGTAATCATCAAGTGAACATCCTTGTAGCAGCTCTTGAGGTGAAAATAGAACACTGCCAGTACCATAGACATTCTCCTTCCCGCCTTTCTCAGTGACATCTCCTGCCTTCTCCCAGGGGTTACCACTTTCCTAATGTTTGTGGCAATCACTTCCTTATTTTAGCTGATAGTTTTACTACCTATGTATCCATATTTAAACAATCTAATTTAAAAATGACCTGTTTTTGAAACTTTGTTGTAAATGGAATCACTCTGCATAAACTTGTGTGTATGTGTGTCTTTAGCTCAGCAATATGTTTATAAGATCATCATGTTGTGTGTGGGTTGAGTTTGTTCATTTTCATTATTTTATGGTATTTCATTGTGTAAATAAAGGACTCTTTATCCATTCTGCTGCTGGTAATCATTTGGATTATTTCCAATTTTTTATTTAATTTGATTATTTTTTTATTTTTTCATTGTTTTTTAAGATTGGCACCTGAGCTAACATCTGTTGCCAATCTTTGTTTTTTTTTTTCTTCTTCTTCTCCCCAAAGCTCCCCACTACATAATTGTATATTCTAGTTGTAGGTCCCTCTGGCTGTGCTGTGTGGGATGCCGCCTCAGCATGGCCTGATGAGCAATGCTAGGTCTGTGCCTAGGATCCAAACCAGTGAAACGCTGGGCCGCCGAAGTGGAACGTGCAAACTTAACCATTTGGCCACGGGGCCGGCTCCATCCAGTTTTTTATTTTTTATGAACAATATTGCCAAGAACATTGTTGTACATATCTACATATGTGTATACATTTCTTTTGCATACATGCCCAGGAATGGATGTACTGGATTGTAGGATATTTATATCTTCAACTTTTTTAGGTAATGCCAACTGTTTTCCAGTATATCCACATGTTTTCCAATGTGGCAGTATTAATGTATACTCTGACCAGCAGATTTTTCCTGAAAGTTGAGAAAATTCAATTCTGAACTTTATATTACAAACAGTGAAGAACAGACAGAACATTCTTGAAGAAGAATAACAAAATGAGCAACTTGCCTTTTGTGTTAGAGTAGGCTAAGTTATGTTGTGGTAACAAACTAAAATCTCAGTGATAAATATATAAAAGATTTATTCTCATGCACATTACTTGTCCACTGTAGGTTAGTAGGAAAACCCTACTTATAGTCACTCAGGAACTTAGGTGCCAAAGCTACAAGCAAGTTGAATATTACTAAGCCAGAGAGAAAAAGAGCTCTGGAGGGTTTTGCACAAGCAATTAAATGTTCAGCAGGTCACTTCTGTTCACAACTCATTGACCAGAGCTAATCATATGGTGCTAATCACAAGGGGGCCAGAAAGTGTGATCCTGTCATAATCCTTGGGAGAGGGAAGAACCAGAAATATTTGGGAAACAGTACTAGTGGTTACCATACTTTATCAGATATCAAGGCTTATTATAAAACTGTAGTAATTAAGACAAAGTGAGGGGTCGGCTCCGTGGCCGAGTGGTTAAGTTCACACGCTCCCCTGCGGCGGCCCAGGGTTTGGATCCTGGGCGCGGACATGGCACCACTCGTCAGG